TGTGTGTGTGTGTGTGTGATCCTTGTGTTTGCACACACCCTCCCCTGTGCGTTGGTGTGTGTGTAGTACGAAGAGGATGATGGGGGGATGGGGGGGTGGTGGGGGGAGGAAATTCTCTGCGTAAAGGATGAGGATGACCTTTTACGAGGAAGTGATTTAAATGATGTCCTGTCGTCACCAGGGATACCACTGTGTGAATGTGGATGAGCATTTGTTGTGGAAAGAACGTCACACTTTTGCACATGCTTACACACACACACACACACACACAGAGAGTAGCAAGAGGACAGTATGCGCATGCACAAGTTGCCAACAGGTACACACTGACATTTTGTGTGAATGCCTGAGTCAAATGTCCTCCCTGCAGACCGGACCTCAGTGATGCTTGAAATGAACAGATGTTTAGTGCCAAGGTTCTCTAATATGCTACTCGGAGTAGATGTTTCTGTCTGGCTGTCTTAAATTGTTTGTGTTCGACTGTCTTGTTTATCTGCGGGGCTGGGCTGCACTCTACGGGGGTGGGAATGTAGCCTACAAGAGCGAGTGAATGGGAAGAGGCAGGGTGAGAGGGAGAGGAAGAGAAAGTACCAGGAGGTGAGGAAGAAGAAGAGGTTCGCGGGGGGGGCAAAGAGAAGAGAGGAAGCGTGCAGGGTGGTGGTGGGGGGGAGGGAGTGGTGAGGAGCTGGATGCAGATGGGGATCTATTCTCTCCGCGCACGCAGACGAGATGGAATGAGTGGGCGTCTGTGACGTCAATCAGTGTAGACACACACACACACACACACACATACACACACAGAGTGAGACACTCCCCTCCTCTTCCAGTCCCATGCTAATACATGCTTCACTGCAAACAGCAGCAGTGCCACGGATCACAGGCATAAACATCAGCACACATACATCAGACAATCAGGAGCACACACACACACACACACACACACAGAGACACAGATCTGAGTCTCATGTTAAGCTCTCTTCTTCTCAAAAAGGCCAACATGTAGCATCAATTATAAGGCTATGGGCTCAAGAGTCAGATGTATCTTTGGTTATTATACATGTGGTGGAGAAAGTGCTCAGATCTTTTTCATTACTAAAGTATCAATATGACATTGTACAATTACTCGTATTATTAAACGTATTATCAGCTAAAAGTATTTCAAAAGTAAAAGTACTTGTGCAGAAAATGGCCCCTTCTATAGTTTATTATTATTATAAATGATGCAATTAGTTGGTTAATACTGATGCAACACTCTGTAAATGGTGTACATTTTATTGCTGTAGTTAACCAGTTCAGTCCAATGGTTCCTAAACTGGGGGTTGAGATGAAAAGAGAAAAGAAGGAGAACAAACTTCTGATACACAAATTTGCTTGTTTGGACATTTTGTCTAATCTTTGCTTTTTTGTAAGATATTGGATAATTTTACCTCTTCTGGCCTCAAACACTTGAGGAGTCAAGAAGCCATCTGAGACATTCAAGGAGGAAATCTATCTTTTTGGTGGACTCACATATACGTTAAATGTGACAAGGAGCCCCCATTTATAATGTGTTTTTCGGGTTAAATCTTAATGTTAAAATTAACTGATTGCTAAAAAATTAGATAAATGTGGAGGAACAAGTAAAATATTTATGTATGAAGTTGCATTAAATATACTCAAATAAAGTACTATCATTGTATTTGAGTATAGTTCTTGCGTACGTCTAAGTAGTTTATACCCACCACTGTAAAGCCCATTTTACTTAGGTTGTACAAAATATTAAAGGGGTATTACTGCAATGTAGTGTTGTGCCTCCATAAAGTGGCCGAGATATTCAGACTTTTAGTTTAGTTCAGTCCAGCACCAGTCACACTGGATCCTACATTTGCCAACCGAAGAACATTGATTAGACCCTCTGGACCCTCTACCTGGTAACACCAACGTCTTGCACCCTCCACATATTCAGTTTGTAACACAGTTCTGTCAAAAACATGAAGTCTCAAGCCCATGCCAAGATAACTCTGATGACATCACTATGACATCATCAGGGTTATTTATTGCAAGCTCCTCCAGAGCCTATGAAGACAAGTGACAGGCTTCTTCTTCTCATGACAAATAAACTTGTTTTTATGTGCAGAACCAGTGAAATACCCATTTAAGACAACAACCCTCACTCATTTTTATAGCTATATGAGTATGTGGGCAAATGGCACAGTGACACTTGGGCTACTATGTGAGGTAAATGAATTAGTAAAGTTCTACACCAGCCAGCTGCATGTACAGCTGTGCTTGTCTTTTTTAGTAAACTGTACCCGTCACTCTGTTATAAATCTGCCTTTCTGTCTGCCTGATTGATCGCTTGTTATGTAAGCTTGTGTTTTTGTCAAATGGCTAACATTATAAAACATTATGCTGCGTTTAGTTTGCATAATTAACAAAGTAAGGTCTCAGTGACCCACAGGTTCCTGAATGGATTTGATGCATAATAGACAAGCAGACAGGAAATATAATTGTCTCCCACTATATTCTGCATCACTGCACAATTTGGATTGATGTAAGAGGAGTTAAAGTAATGACGGTACAATTTGAGCCGGAAAACAGCACAGATGGAAGTTGTGAGTGGAATAACAAAGTAATATGATCGACAGGTTTGATTCCTCAAGGTTTTCTGATTCAGGCTCCTTGTATGGCATGTATTTGGCAAGTTCGCCTTTAAGAAATCATCCATCCATGTCACAGAGTCGTGACGACACAGACTTCTATCTAGAGAAATGAAAAACTATTTTTGAAACACTCCTCACTGCCTTCCCTTTTTTTGCTGTTAAGGATGAATTAGCGTATAAAGTAAGAGTGCATCAATTTCAATGTGGAGGCGGTGTGTGTGTGTTTCTGATGGGGG